TTAAAGGCCTTTGCGTGCTCACATTATGATATTGTTACTCTCTGATATTTGTCTTTGCCTCAATTTGCTAGTAAGAAAAGGCATGAGCGAAGAGAAGAGCGGACGGCGCAATGACTAAAATTTGCCGCCCCCTCCCCCCCCCCCCCCACAACACAAAAACACACACACACACACACACACACACACAGAGATTTTCCAGTTCTTTCAATAGGGCCTTTTCTGTGCTCATTTCTTCCGTTCGCTTAGGTCGCTCACTATGTTTTTTATTGTGACTCTCAGCCGAGGACCCTAGACCCCGAGCCCTCAAAACCTATGGCATCACCACCAAAGCAGCCCTCAGACGCTGAGGCCCTGAATCCCTGCAAACCCATGCAAGGGTTTAGGATTTGGGGCTTAGGGCTTAGGGTTTACAGGTAGGGTTTAGGGTTTAGGATTTTAGGGCTTAGCCCGAAACCCTGAATGTCCCGCAAGGAAGCCCAAAAGCTAGGTGCATGGATGTTCTGAAGTCTAGAACCCTACACCCGACATCGTGTGGTTCGCCAGGACGGAGAAACAGATGCAGATCTTCAACTCAGGCCTGTGCTGAGCCAGGTGTAGGGTTTGGGGTTTTTGGGTTTAGGGTAGGGTTTAGGGTTTCCGGTTTAGGGTTTAGGGTGATTTTTGGTGTTCGCGGGGTTAGTGTCTCGGGTTTGTGTGGCGAGGGTTTCGGGTTTCGAGGTTTGGGGTGTGCAGGATTTCGGTGTCGTACGAATGCTTGCTGAGCGTTTAGGGCTTCGGGTTCTTTTGCTGGGACGGAGGCAGGCTTGGGAGGGTTTCGGGGGGAAGCTGGACTGTTCTCACGCTGCGGTTGGCGAACTTCCAAGATGTTCTCTCTTTGTTCCCTGGCTTAAGGTTGAGGTTTTTGGTTTAGAGTTTAGGTGCATATGTGGCAAGGAAGCTGAGATCGACATAAGACAGGGGTTGAGCACTCTGATTGCTTGCAGACGTGCACGCGTGGTGGGAGAAGAGCTTCCCAATCTAAGATTTCTAGGGCGTGATTTTGACCTCAGGCTGGCGATTGGCAACTCAATCCCGTAAAGAATGGTCTATCACTTCGTGTGCAGGGCACGCCAAGCCTAGAGTGGAAATGTACCCACTGATTACGGCAATACCCTGTTGTCAAGAGTAACCCCAACTCAGACACTAAGTCCCTAAACTAAAAACCCTAAACCCCTAAACCCCTAAACCCCTAAACCCCTAAACCCCTAAACCCCTAAACCCCTAAACCCTAAACCCCAAAGCCCTTAACCATCAGTCCTGCAGGCGGCAATCGGCGGCTCGCCGAATTCTTCCAGGCGAACGGAGCCAGGAGCTCGCAGGTCGCACCTTCTTGCTGGTTCGTAGGGAATGAATCAGGCACCCTAGATCTCCCTATACATACCCTTTAAGGGATTATATAGGGTACCCCCGTCCCCCATTCCCTACGAACCAACAGTAAGCCTTGCTATGTTTTGGGGTTTCGGGTTGAGGGTTTAGGATCTGTAGGGTTTAGGATGATCGGCTTGTGGGTTTAGACTTTAGGCAGGACATCCAGGACAAAACCTACCTAACCACACGTGAATAAAGCCTCGTAGAGAACCCAAGGGTGTAGGGTTTATATGACACAGGGTTTATCTCACTGTTATTGGTGAGTGTATATAAGGTTCCTTGTTAATATTGGTGAGTGCATATGTTGGGTGTCCTTTTGGGGTAAAAGAAACATGTTCGTGCCGCCCACCTGGCTTACACAGGTATCGGATTGCAAGCTTTTGCCTATTCAGCTTCAAGAAATTGGTTGTCAACTTGGTGCAACATGGATCCTGTTGACATCAGGTGCAAATTGCGTGGCATCAACAAAAGGTTCATTGCGGCCAAGAGGAGATATGAATGCTTCAAAAAACATTTTCTCAGGGTTATGGAGCTTGCTCATTTAAACGATGCACGCCTTCCAGACATCCTTACCTCTGAGTGGACACTGGATTTCCGTTGTCATTTCTGTAAGCGACAAATTTTCTTCTGCAAAGCTCCTGACATGCTTCAAGATGTTTGCTTCAAAGCTGTGCTGCTTGATGCAGACACTGTCGCTGATTGGGTTCAACGCTTTGATGAAACCATTGACTCTATCTCGTCTGTCCTTGCGAAGCTTAACCATTGATCGGTAAATTCACGTCCTCGACCACTGATGTTGTGTGCTTGCTAACCGTGCTTAGTACAAATCAAAGCTGTCTCACCTTGATATGATTCACGACCTCGAGTCCGCAGTACAAGAAATATAAACCCCGCTTCATACGCTCCCTGGGTCTCAGGCAGCTACCCTCCCTGTACCTCCTGAGGCCCGCCTTCGCCTCCAGCCGCAATGAATCACCAAACCCTAAACCCCAAACCTTAAGCTCAAACCCTAAACCCCACAACTCCAAACCCGAAACCCTAAACCCTGCCCCCCAAACCCTAAACCCTAATCCCTGGAGCCCAAACTCCCTCAACCACCCCAAGGTGCAGGCGAGCAGCATGTACCAGCGCTATTCCACCCCTGCGGGCGAATGGTGGCCTGCAGCTGTACGGTTCGGGGTTCAGGGTGGGTTTAGGGTTGAGGGTTTAGGGTTTAGGGTTCGGGGATGCCGCGCCTCCAAATAGCAAGGTTCCAAGAACCAAAGCCATGCTCTAGCTACAGGACTCGGGCGAAAGAATCCCTGCCTTTCCCTACAGACTGACTACCCAAAGGCTCCATGTAGTTCCTTTTTGGATTAGTTATAGGGGATTCTAGTATACCACCCCAAAAAGGTACTCCATAGGAGCTTTTGGGTACCGTCAAGACTTGAACTTGCGCATCTGTGACGCCAGGATACCTAAGTCGCTGAGCGCACCTTACAGAGTTTAGGGCTTAGGGTTCAGAGGGTCAACCCTACACCTCCCAAAACCCTGCAGCTAGCCACTGATGCAGGTACGTCATCAAATTGTAGGAAATTCGAAGCTCGATGCCAGATAGCCTGGAAAGATTGCCTCAACACACTGAAGCAACAGCTCAGGGTTTAGTGTGGGGTTCGGGTCTGAGGGTAGTTTCATGGGCCCTTACTATGGTCCGTAGCCTCTTTCAAGGGTTCTGATGTATGGGCCCTTAATTACTTTGCATAAGGTATCTAAAGTACTCTGAACCCTAAACCCTAAACCCTATGTACCCTTTTTCTAAGGGACGATGTAACTATCCTTAGATCAGGGCTTAGGGCCGAACCTGGAGTTCGAGTTTGGAGAGGAGTTTGTTAAAGCGCCCCCGGCCATGCCGTCCGCAGCCATTCAGGCCACGCTGCAACTGCTGAACCCCTAATAGATTCAAGGTTTAGGGTTTCGGGTTTAGGGTTTAGGGTGTAGGGTTTAGTCAACCCCAATGCTAGAAACTTAGAAGCATGTTGCTAGCTTCTTGATCAATAACCCTGCGATCCTCATGAGGGTTTCTGGCGCGAAGCATAGTATGCCCGAAATTCTGGAACCGGGCAGCTCCAAAGCCACTTTAAACCTCAAAACGCATCCGCTAAACACGCCCTGAAGCCCCAAACCCCTAAAACGCCGGGCCTCTGGCTGCAAACCCCGTAGGTGGCCCTAGGGTGTATGGGCAACAGATAGAATCGGTGCACTTCTATTGAAACCTGTCCTGGGCCCGTCAAGCCCAAAAGTCCGGATCCGACCTCCACAAGCAAAGGGCGGACGCCTCGAGCACACTGTTGGTTTGGGCGGCTAATGAAGGGTTTGGGGGTTATTGGGGGGGAGGGAGGGACCTGGGGGGGAGGGGGAGGGGGAGGGGGGCAGGGCAGGGGGAGGGGAGGGGACCGGGGGGGCGTGCATGATAGGGTTTAAGGAATTTCCGATGCTTTGCAGAGGGTTGTCGGGGTTTGAAGTTCTGGGCTTGGTTCCTTTGAACGCTCGGGCTTGTTGGGGTTTCGGACTTCTTTTGTTTTGCCCCGAAAATCCTAAACCTTGACAGGGCCTGCCCAAAGACGCAGCCGCAAAAGCCCCTTAAACCAAGAGTTTGGGTTCTGGATTCTATGGTTTACGCGGGGAGGAGCTGGTAAAGGCTGCTGGGTCGGGTACCCTGCTTCAGCATCTTTCGTAGCCGATGGCTGAACTTGTGACATGTTTTCCAGAGGCCATCAGTTCTGTGTCGCCACCCTGCCGCTGTGTGGCTCAGCTTGCTCCAGCGCCAGATTCTTTGCCAGCAATGGCAACGGTCTCCTCATCCCCAGGCTGGGGGGAGGGGGGAGGGGGGGGGGGGAAGGGGGGGGAGGGAGGGGGGGAGGGGGGGGGGGGGGGGGAGGGGGGGGAGGGGGGGGGAGGGGGGGGGGGAGTGGCAGGAGGGGAGGAGGAGGGGGGCAGGAAGAGGCGAGGAGGGGGGGAGGAGGAGGAGGGGGGCCCACATGATGCCTACTAGAAACACTAATAAAAAGAGGTCGAAGAATTACTAGCAATATCCCTTCGCTTTGTAATCATACTATAGTAACCCCACAAACACGATTCTAACTATTTCAGGCCCCTATATTCCATACCCTAAACCCGAAAAACGACAGCCCGAAACCCGAAACCCGAAACCCGAAACCCGAAACCGACTCGATCATCCATGCGATTCATCGCAGAGAGCGGGAAGAGAGAAGGATGGGGGAGCAATCACACTGTGAATGCGTGATCCATACCTTGCTTGAATATCGTGGTCAACAGTCTATCACATCTAAGAATCTGGATTCGAAGAACAGTCTTACAATCGAGTATGGTATATGTGAAATGCACCCAGACTCGAACCCCTCCCTTAATTAGTCATTTGAGTTGAAGAGGGGCGGGGTGCGGGCCAACAAGCTCAACCCGCTTGTACAGTGAATATACATCCTACAATCCTACAACCCCCGTATATAGAGCTCCAGCCCTTGCACGCCAACTCTAAATCCTGAACCCTAAACTTTGTCCTTCCGGGCTCTCGGCAGCCTCAGGCGAAAGCGTCGATGGAAGCATCGCGAAAACCGTCTCGCGGAGTTCGGGGACTGAGATGAAGCGTTTAGAGTTTCGCTTATATCCCTGTCACCAAAGCATCTTGCTAGTCTTGCCACACATGCCATGCCTTGTGCTTGTCAAAGCCTTGTGAGGCTAATTCCCAGTTCCCGCAAGAGCTGCCAAAAGAGGGTTTGTCAAGAAACCCTGAACCCTAAACCCTAAACCCCAAACCCTAAACCCTAGACCCTAGACCCTAAAACCCTAACGCCTAAACCCCAAAACCCCTAAACCCCTAAACCCCTAAACCCCTGACGCCAGGAGTGCGGCGCCTTCCTTGGCTAACAGCGTGAAATCCGAGTGGGATGCTGCCCGGGTTACCCCCATGCTCAGCAACAGGAGGACTGAGTAGCAAGAAATGCCCCAGGGTTTCGGGTTTAGGGTTTAGGGTTTAGGGTTTAGGGTTTAGGGTTTAGGGTTTAGGGCGGTTTCAGGTCCCATGTTGAGGCCGATAGTAGAGAAGGTAACCTTTAACCTTTTTTGGGGGTAATATACTCCCCTTATTATCATCCCACAGGTTCACCTTTAATTCCCCCAAGTTACTGGACAACTGAGTTTAGGGAGGAATGCAGATGTGGCTGTGCAGTAGCCTTTGAGCCTGCTTTGTGATCGCACAGCGCCAGGAAAACACTGTCCAGCAGATTCGTCAAAGCAAAAACGTCGAACTTTTGGGCTGAGGGTGACGAGGCAAGGAGTTGCAGAGGACGCTTCAAGAAGGCTGCCGTGGCCTACACACGCAGCAAAGTTGCGGCCAATCTGTTCGCTGTGATTGTCTTGGTAGATTTTCTCTGTACCTGCCTGGACGTTGATGCTAGAGCTGCGGGAGAGAAGACGCCGGACCTTGTGCAAATTACATCAGACATCTGCCTTTGGGCGTACAGCCTGGAAACCATTTTGCTTCTCATCGTGAAGGGGCCTAGAATTTTCTTGGATGTCATGATGATGTTGGATGCATTTGTGCTCCTGTGCGGGTATGTGGAAACGATTATGCAGTACTTGGGTCATGGCGAGCTGTTGTCGACAGTTGCAATATTCCGAATGCTGCGCCTGGTGAGAATCCTGCGTGTGACGAGAGTGCTGCGGAGGACGGGAGGCTTTCGCGAACTACAGAAGCTCATACGCATGATGTCAACCTGCATAAGGACACTCTTCTGGTCTTTTGTATTTTGTTTCATTGTCATGACGGTGTGGGCGCTCCTCATCGTCGAGCTACTAAACCCGCTCATGGACATCATCAACCAAGAGACGGGAATTTTTGATGACTGCCCGCAGTGCATCAAGTCCACACAATCCGTGATGCGTGCAAATGTGCTCTTGTTCAAGACGGTGATCGCTGGTGATGGGTGGGGATTAATCGCTGTGCCGTTTATCGAAGCGTACCCTCTCTCTGCGATCATCTTCTGTGGCTCACTGCTGACGCTTGTGTTTTGCGTGATGAACCTGATTGTGCTCGCCTCAGTTTGGAAACACGGTCTCAGGCACGTGATTATGGACTAGTAGATGACCGGTCGAGATCGATTCTTACCTAAGCACGGTACCAAACCGTAAACCCTAGGCTCTTGAACCCTTAAACCATAACCCTAAGCCCTGAAAACCCGAAACCCTATGAACTTTTTTAATTTAGTTGTAGCGCTAGTTATGCCCCTTCTTCAAGTTTGCATCCCTTGCCTAGTACCTCCATGAGGGATCATGGTGGGGAGAGCTTTGAGTCTGAGAAGTGGGCTGTCTTGCCAAGTGATCCATCCAACCCTGCCGGAGTACTCCTGTGGTTATAGGCCGAGGGCACCCTGGTCCCCACCCCCAACCCTAAACCCTAAACCCTAAACCCTAAACCCTAAACCCTAAACCCTAAACCCTAAACCCCCACACGCACACACACACACACACACACACCCTTGCTGTGCCCAGGTTGCAGTGGTCGTAGACACATTTGCAGAAGCTCGCGAGCGCGATGTCATGAATTTGGCAGAGGAGATAGAGACTAGAACGCGCAGTAGTAACCCTAAACCTTAAACCCTAAACCCTCAACCCTAAATCTCAAACCCTAAACCACTCTTTCCTTTGTTGGGTTCAGGGTTTAGGGCTGAGGGCTCAGAAGCGAAATCGGGTGGAAGGGCCCATGTTCCCTTGCTGTTACTATAAGACTTATTTGCCTTCTGTGTGTTTGAGGAAGGGCCCATGTTTCCTTACTGTTACTATAAGCCTTTTTTGCCCTCTGTGTTTGAGGGTTCTTAGGATTTTCATCGTGTTTAGGGTTCTTAGGAGTTTAGGCTACTTGGGGTGCTTAAAGCAGGGTTCTTAGGGTTTTTTGAGTTCTTTGAGTTCTTAGGGTGTAGGGTTTAGGGATGGATCCCTCATCATCCCCATTGGCAGCAGTTTGCATACTCCGCGGGTTGCTGGGTGAGCCTAGGAGAACAACGTAACGGTCGACCGAGAGCGCTTGGAAAAGATCTTCCAGCGCATCGATGCGGATGGAAGTGGCATGGTGACCCGGCCTTGGGATAGGGTTTAGGGTCTAGGGTCTAGGGTTTAGGGTTTAGGGTTTAGGTTCCTTATTCTTGTGGTTAAAAGAGAGGTGTTTTTTTTGGGTTTTGGTTTAGAGTTTGGGGTGTAGGGTTGGGATGCTCCCCCCTATGCTGACAGTTCTTCATGGGGTTATAGTACCCCCTATTATGGTCCCGAGGGGCCTGTTAGTACTATAAGGGGGAGCATCCCAACCCGAAACCCTAAACCCTAAACCCTAATCCCTAATCCCTAAACCCCAAACCCCAAACCCCAAACCCTAAACCCTAAACCCTAAACCCTAAACCCTAAACCCTAAACCCTAAACCCTAAACCCTAAACCCTAAACCCTAAACCCTAAACCCTAAACCCTAAACCCAAGCTTAGGGTGTAGAAAAGAACATCCTGAGCCGAGGTGACATTCGACGAGCTCTTGGAGGGAGCTCGCAAGGATCCCGAGTTTCAGAGCCGATTGCGGGTCATGGATATCGACGAGGCATAGGGGGTTTAGGGTTTAGGGTTTAGGGTTTAGGGTTTAGGGTTCAGGGTTCAGGGTTTAGGGTTTAGGGTTTAGGGTTTAGGGTAATCTTGGAAAAACTTAGGGAGCCTTAGGGAGTAGTAGGGAGTATACCCCCCCCCCCTCAAGAACCCTGCAAAGGCCGATCTGGAGCAGCTGTTTGAGATGATCGACGCGACCTGATTGTGAGCAAACACTACAGGACCCAGAGTAAGTAGGCCCCTATTCCCCTTTCTTGGGGCTCAGGTTCCCTTTATAAGCCCCTGTAATACTGTAAGCTAACAAGGGCACCCTTTTGTAATCCGCCCAGTCACCAAGAACATGTGTGGTATGTCAAGAACGGCAGGGGTAGAATTCGGCGACCCATCCTGACCCCTTATAAGGTTCCCTCCCAGAAAAGTAAATGTCAAATTTGGGCTTTCTCGCTTCTCCTCCCTGTCCCTAGGGTTTAGGGGTTAGGGTTTGAGAACAACTTCGGCGCCTAGGTTTACGGCGCAAAAAGCGGGTGGGCGGGTGTGGTGTGAGTGGGGTTCTTTGTAGGGGGGTTGCCTGAGTCCTTGTGGCACTCTTGGGTAAGCAGCATCGTCTGCTGCGGATCATGCACATCCCGCAAGAACATCCTTACCTCCACAGCATCAAGACATTCTGTCAAAATCCCACTGACCAGTTTTATGGGGGTCGGAATGAATAATTACAAAGAATGTTCCCTTATGGTCCCTTTGTAACTTTACTATAGTACCCCCCCCCCCCCCCCCCCCCCAAACCCTAAACCTAAACCCTAAACCCTAAAAAAAAACTGTTGTATTTATTCAGGCCCCTAGATTACGCTCTCAATCGAGGTGAACGGTGAAGGAGAAATTGCGGTGGCGGAGTTCATCGCACCTTTGTCACTTAGTGGCTGCGTGAGTACACTTTGCACTCTTTGGTTTAGGGCTCAGGGTTCAGGGTTCAGGTGTCAGGGTTTAGGGTTTAGGGTTTAGGGTTTAGGGTTTAGGGGACCTTATAAGGTCACGCTGGGTGACCGACTCAAAGACGGCGCCGCGCTTCATCAAGTACAACATGCTCCGCTCGCTCGCTCAGCAGGAGGAGCTGTACTCCCTCTCTCGAAGATGTTGCTTGCTCTATCCTCCTTGGTTTTTTGTTGTTTTGTTTATATACAACCCAAGAGGATGTTAAACATAGTTGTGTTTATTAAGGTTCCAAGGGGAGTATAGTTGCTTGCTCGCTCTTGTCTGGGAATCACTTTGCCCTTTACTTCCAGGCACCTAACAAGAATTAGGTTGCCATATGCTAGAATCGTGGAGGAGCAATCAGAAGCAGAGGGTCATATGACATATGTCTCCCGGAAGTCCGGAAGAAGGCGATATATCGGGAATAACATAGGGTAGCTCTGCTCTCCGTCCCGGCGAACAAGCAAGGTTTTGAGACCTTGGTCTGTCGGATGGAGGAGCTCGTGACCTTTCTCCATGGCGAAAACTCAGCAAGCTTGCTGCCAAGCCCGGACGCCCAGTTCGTCTCCAGCAGGACGAAGGATGAGGTGGCTCAGCCAACCATGGAGTTGGAGTTTGTGGTGGCTTGGTAGCCCAAGTGGTACCCTTTTTCCCCTTTTTTTTTGGTTCAAGGTTCCCCTTGTAAACTAGCCAACCCAAAAAAGAGTGCCCTCATTTATCTGGTTACTGGGCTACTAAGGTGGGCACCCAGGAGTTGCAACCCTTCTCGAGCTCCAAGGATGCTGGGCTTGCGGAGGCAGATGGCGAAGCCATCGAGCAGCCGCACTCGTCGCAAAAGGCGTTCTTGCAACCATCCCCCGACGAGGAGGCGGGAACTCTGAACGCGTGTGTGAACACGGAGCAAACTGATCTGCTGCTGTGGTCAGGCAACACGAGTCAGAGAACCCATTGCTGTATCTTGCTGTTGACCAGTGTTTACTATCGTCAGAACTATGAAATGCTTGTGTCATTCTGTCGTAAGAAGTGATCAACCGGCCAAGGGGTGTGGTCTAGCGGCGGGATTGGTCAGCAACTGCGAGAGAACTCATATCCAACAGATCATGGCCTCTGTGCGATCACTCCCTCAACCCTAAACCCTAAACCCTAAATCCTAAACACCCTTTACATACCCTGATGTTCAGGAGGCGATCAAAAATGCCATAGAGAGTCTGGAGAGACATGTGCTTAATGCCACGGAGCTCGCGCTGAAGGGATCGGTGGCTCTGGTCGAGCAGGCACTGAGGGATCGGCAAAGGCGCCACCGACGGAGTCCCAACCGCATAGCATCCGGTACTCCTAACCTCCAGCACCTGCTCGAAGATCATGTCTTCGAGAGACGCCAAGAAAAGAAGCACTCTCTCCAGCCCTTTCGCGACATCGAGACTCCCGAAGCCTTTTCGCCTCAGAGACCACGGCTGCCAATCGGGACCTTTGGAAAGCCAGGATCGCCAAGTTCCCCACAACCTTACCCAAGGAGGCCAGGACTCTTTGCTGTGACACCATTGTGGGGGCGCTTTGGGTCTATAGGGTTCAGAAGGCTTAGGGGACGACTAAAGGGCATGGTTTGCTCTGTGGGCAACGGTGCGTGACGCCCTTAAAGGCAAGATGTAGACTGATGTTTAGGCGTCTCACATTCTAAGCCCTGCTGGAGTTGCTAGAAGGCCCCCCAGTCCGTCTCGCTTTAGGGTTTCGGGGCGGGTAGATGTCAGGATGCGCAAGTTTTCGGATAGGGTTTAGGGTTTAGGGTTTAGGGTTTAGGGTTTAGGGTTTAGGGTTTAGGGTTTAGGGTTTAGGGCTTAGGGTTTAGGGTTTAGGGTTTAGGGTTTAGGGTTTAGGGTTTAGGGTTTAGGGTTTTAGGCTGCAAGGGACCGTGACCTGCAGGAATGGGAGCAAAGAAATCGTGAAAAGCACAGATACAAGCTCTTGGTACAGGCCGGGGTTGGTTGTTCACGGGAAGCATGTTGAGGACGTTGTTTTTCGGGTGCTGGTTTCCCTAAAGCGGCAACCCTCGATACATGATGAGTGCTGGCACGTGCATCGAGTAACACATCCATTCGCAGCACAAGTCGCGGCCAGCCCTGGGCAGAGAGCACCCAGACTGCCCTCAACACATCATGCCAGCACAGACCCCAAACTGTGAGAGACCATGTTGGCGTTTCCGAAAATAGGGGCTTATTATACCGGAATCCTACTGGGGGGGGGGGGTTCTTAAGCAACCCTAAACCCTAAACCCTAAACCCTAAACCCTAAACCCTAAACCCTAAATTCGTAGTACATGCGGGTCCAGTATAGAGTCCCTTGCGTAAACTCCCATGTGAGCCCAGCGGTCCAAAAGCGACGACAGGCTCGGATTTCGCGAGCCCAGACATCCAAAAGCCATGAGGGCTTCGGGTTTAGGGTTTGAGGTTTAGGGTTTAGGGCTTAGGGTTTAGGGTTTAGGGTTTCGGGTTTAGGTTTTGGGGTTTAGGGTGGCCACGCACGTGCCTGGGCGAGAGCGACTTTTGTCCAACAGACCTCGCGAGAAATGTTTATTGGTCTGAAGCAGAAGCGCCGCGCAACAACATCGACCTAGCCCCTCTTGCCCTAAACCCTAAACCCTAAACCCTAAACCCTAAACCCTAAACCCTAAACCCTTTGCACTGCGCGTTGGAGCCCCTCAGAAAAGTTCCAAGAAAGCCCCAGGCCCCTACGCTGAGCTCTAGAACTTTATAACTTTAACCCCTATTAAACCCCGATTCTGAGCCCAAACTCCCATGCCCAGGGGAAGTCCGGCAGGGAGTCCAAACTACGTCCACATCCGAACGGATGAGAGGACTCAGAAAAGGCTAAGTCAGTCAAAGCGCCCCTCGTCCCTTTAGGCTTCGATTTCGTTTTGCGAGGCAGGGGTTCAGGGCTTAGGATGTAGAAGTATTGGGTGCTTGTTGTTTTGCAGGTAGGTCTTTACAGGGATGTCTTTAAGAAGCAAGGTGCAAGCTTGGTGTTGAGCCCCCAGCTTTCCTGGCAGGATTCCTGTTTCTACACCGGCCCTTAGCCTCTAACCCTCATGCCCAAAAGCAAGCGTGTGAACGCACGACTGTCACGCCTGTTGCTGGTAAGGTCCACAAGAGCATCCCCAATAAGCACTGGAGCAGCGCCTTTTTGGCTGTGTTCAGTCCGTTTAAGTTTCACCCACGCTCTAGCAGGGTTGGCCAGAGTAGTTCAGAATGGCCAGAAGTTGTGCTGCGGTTTTGGGACAACCCTGACGTTGATTTCGGTGAAGATGTCATTCACACGCTTGAAGACGCGCAGTTTTTGAAAGTGTTCCCTGACTCACCGCCATTCTTTCCTCTTGCTCGCTCTCGCCCTCGCCGCTCCCTTCCTCGGACCCAGAGTTGAGCCTTATTCCCTTTTATAGAGCTTTGGTTCGCTTATAAGCCCCCTTAAACCAAAAAGGGCACCCTGTTTATTTCTATATGCTTTGGGTCTAGCTTCAGCGGGCATCGTGAGCTGAATCTGTTCGTAGACGTACCTGCTATGTACAGACAACATTGCCGCTGGCAATAGCCATGCTGACAGCCGAATAGGATGATCATTGCATCAGTGAAGTTACATAAGATTGGGCTATTGCGTGCCTGTACTCAACGTAGGCTGTTGGCGGCGTTTGGAACATCACACTGAGCAAGCCATTCAAAGTTGCCAGATGCGTAGGAACCCTCGACTCAATGTTCGGGCCCATCACCCGGTACCCAAGCTCCATAAACATGGAGCTCATGTGCCAAGGTGAACCAAAGTATCTCCAGCTGCGGTCCAGTGTGTGCACAAAAGACCTTTTTTACCTCATAGTCTTAAGAAGGCATGAGACCCATCATCCGCACCAAGCACGAAACATTAGCCCCTCCAACCACACGAAAGGGACACTGGTTCCAGAGGCTGTCTCTGAAGCCTCAGAACCTACGACTTGCTTTAAGAACCCCCCCCCCCCCCAAAAAAAAAAAAAAAAAGACAAAGATAGTCTTCCTGATAAGGGGAATTACGGATTATCATTTTTTGGGGGGTTGAGGGCTCAGGGCTTATATGCTAGTTCATGTCGAAGTCAACCCGACTAAGGCTTACGGATCGGTAGGTAATTTCCCTAAACCCTAAACCCTAATTAAACCCTAAACCCAATTTCTTGAGTGCACTTTACACGACCGAGTCGGCGAGGTCTTAGCTGGGTTATGGTGAAGAAGAAGACGAAGCGAAAAGGACTTCTGTTCTTTTGGGAGGGGAAGGTCGATAAATATGTAGAACCAGTACATTTAGTCATTTTGTCATGTAGTTTTCGTTTTTGATTCTTACTACCGTTTTTTGTATGATTATTGTTATTGTTATTATTTCATTATCATTATCATTATGGTTATCTTTCTTATGATCATGATTATTATGATGTTATTTCTACATATGTCTCTCTCTCTCTATATATATATATATATATATTTTTTTTTTTTTGTTTCTTGGCGGCGGGGCCGGGGGGGGAGGGGTCGGGGCCCTGAGAAGAAGGCTCGTAATTATAGTACGAGCTCAACATGGGACACCCTACTTAGGGACCTCCCCCCCCATCCTCCCCATGTGCCTTATTGTGGGTTTTCAGCGCTGAGCGTTTAGGGGTGCCCTAAAAGGGACCATGATTGGGGCTGCTACAGCTTGTAAAGATCTTAACCCAAGGCCTACAAAATCCCTAATCCCTAACCCCTCATCCCCAAGCCCTAAATCCCTAAACCCTAAATCCCACCACCCTATGCCCAATGTAGTTCCACGAGGAGGCGATGACTCGGATGGCCACAGCCTTACTGACAATGCATGATAATGCATTACCATCCGTTAGGGTTTAGGGTTTAGGGTATAGTGTTTGGGGGGTTTAGGGTTTTTAGGCTTTTTAGGGTGTTTTGAATTTAGGGTTTAGGGTTGTTCCCAATAATAGGGGCACACCTTCTATACACCCCGCCAAAATGCTTCAATCCTTTCATACGCGCTGCCCCAAGCACAAATTCTTCTCAGATAGGCCCCTGTACTAGCTTTTCCATTTGAGGATTTGAGGTTGGGGGCGAGAGCTTCGCGAAGTGCTTCGGATATCTCGGGTTGTTCAGTTCATTCTGCATTCTTGCTTTCGAAGATATAGAGCCGCAGACCCACAACTGAACCCTGAAACCTAAACCCTAAAACCCTAAACCCTACACCCCCCCCCCAGCCAACCAACAGCGATAAATTCCAGCCTTGAAAGACACTACACTGAAAATACCGGCTTGGATTTTTAGATTTTGCGTTCCGTTGTTTTTGGAGTTTCCCCTTTGCATTCATTTCCCTTGCAGTAAAGCCTATAAGAACACACAGGCTTCGCAGAAGCGAGGCTTTCCCAACAAAGGCACAATTTGCCTGGAAAAGCACAGTTGCCCAAAGAGCCGCAATTTGCCTAGCCCAATTTGTGAATGTAACTCAGGTGGTGAGCTGAAGTTCTCCCAAACAGTGCAAGCTGTGTGCAACAAAGTATATAGAATTCCGGTAAAGCGATGGAGGAGGAAAATTAAAGTTCACAACACCCTCTCTCTCTCTCTCTTCCTCTCTATTCGTTCTAACGCTATGTCGCTTCGAGCGTGAGCTGAGCTAGCGAGTTGGGAATAGTAGAAGCAAAGCGCGCTTGCCCAAATCCTGGAATGGACCCGACTGGAAGTTCTCCAAAGCTCAACATCGAACTTGCAAAAACCTGAAGCCCTAAAACCCTTAAACCCACCTTAACACCCTAAAACCCAAGAAACCCTAGCACCCTAAACCCCTAAAGCCCCAAAACCCTGCAACCCTCAAACCCACAAGACTTGCGACCCAAGGCCTCGTCAAGAAGGCCCAGAAGCGCAAGAAGAGTCTGCTTGACACTCTCCTTCTACAGGGGAACTAAACAAACCCCAAAAGGGACCACAGTTTAGGAAAACTGGGACCCCAAAAGGGGCCCACAATTTAGGTAACTATCTCAAGTTTTTAGGGTTTTGGGTTTAGGGCAAGCCTAAAACCGACACGCGGCTTGGGGGGTTCAGGATCAAGACAGGCTGGCTCGAGGCCGAGGCACGTAAGCACCGAGGTTTCGGCTTTCTGGCTGGCCACCTCACTTAAACCCTTACTTGGAGGTTCATGGTACTTGTTAACCAACTAATATCTGTACTTATAACCCACTTGAAAAAGCCCCTTAAGTGCCCTAGTATGGTTAATTATAAGTACAGTTATGATTTCAGCTATAATTGGTTAATAAGTGCAATGAACCTCCAAGTAGTGGGGGATTCGGGGGAAGCTCGAGAACCTACACCTCAAGCTCAACCGTGAACACCTGAACGCAGCCACCCTACGCCCTCCGCATCCCAAGCCATGTAAACTCAAGACCTTAAGCACCCTAAGCCCGAAACCCAAGTAGCCAAGAGCCCCTCAACTCTCATTCAAACCCTCCCAAAACCCCCCCAAAAAGCCACCCTCGAGCTCCCTAAACCCTCAACCCTAAACCCAAAACCCCCATGGAGCAAAGGAGAAGGTCGATGGACCCTCCGATGCGGACAAGCTGCTGCCACGAACCCTGGAGGCTTGCAGCAGGGACTCAGGGTAGTTTGCTTGCTGGCTTTTTCTTGCCCTCAAGCCCTAAATAATTACCAAGCCCTAAACCCTAAACCCTAAGCCTTAAGCCCTAAGCCTTAAGCCCTAAGCCCTAAGTCGTCAGTTCTAGGGGTCGAGAGTTGAAGGGGTTTAAGGCTGAGTTTTTGGGGGTGCAAGGCGGTGGGGGCGGGGGGGGTTTAGAGCTTCAGGGTTCTGATCCAACATCTCTTCGATGCAGGAGAGGATGAACGCCAGACGCATTGTTTGGGCCTGAGTGGTAGAGCTTGACGTGCGCAGAAGCGCACGCATCAGGCTCATCCATTCATGAAACAGGCGCTGAAGCAGTTGCGACACAAGCAAAACACATGTGCTGGGGAAGTTGTTGAATCAGCAGTATAGACAATTTCAAGACCCGACGCCAATCGGCTTAGGTCGTTGTCTTGGAGAAATGCCCTCTGGAGAACGTGGCCCCACGGAAGGCGTCCGCCACCCTGAAGTTGCGAGGCTGTAGGGTTTCATAGTTCATCAAGAGTTGAGGGTTTAGGACGTAGGGCAGGGGGGGAGGTTACCCGAAGTTTGTGGGTTTTCAGCACCGAGAGAGGTGATAAGACAGTCAAGCTAGAGCTGCCCTCCCAGGCGTCAAGCTGGAGCTACCCTCCCAGGCGTAGCTAACGACCCTCCACTATAAGTAGCCAAAGCAAGCCCAAGCCGCTGAGCCCCCAGGTCAAACACCTCAGCCCCTCAGCACCTCCACCACTCCCTCCCCGTATGCCCTCAGAAGCCCCAAAACCCTACCCCCAAACCTGGGCCCTACACCCTATAAGTGCCCCCAACTCCCCATCACTCAATGTGACCATCTCGCGGCAGCCCTCGGCGCCAGGGGGCACTGGAGTTGCTCAACTCGGACGACCACAAGGCCATGGCAGGACATGGAGTTCAGGACTTAGTGGGGTCTAGGTTGACTGCCCGTCACTTCACGAGATACTTGCAATGATCAGTGGCGAGTGGGCTCTGATTGGGTTCCAACGACTCTCCCAGCGATCAATAGTTGGTGAGCAGCTCAGGAATCCGAGGTGCGGAGAATAGCTTGAGTGAGTTCAAGTCTAACAACCCCACCCAAGACCCCAAAACTATTTATGCCTTAAGCCTAAGACCCTATGAACCCTAAGACCCTGAGAGCCCTGAACTTTGGCCTTCTTGGCACCACACCCCCCCCCCCCCCCACCCCACAAAAAAACATCAAAGCAATCAAAATCTAAACATGAACGCCGAACCCCGGGCGTCCTTGTCAGGGCATCTGCAGTCGGACGGGCCGGGATTTGGCAGATGTCAGGCGGGCGGTAGGGAGAGGAACCTTTATCATTCGCAGGGGGTCAAGGTTCTAACCCCAATCAGCCCTATCTCCCCATCTTAGTTAGTAGCCCAGTAGAAGCTCACTCTTTTTGTTTTGGTGGGGTTGGGGGGGAGGGGCATATATGAAACTACATACATTGCACTTCGGCCTGTTTAGGCCAACCCATGCTTTCAACCGTACATTTCCGTCTCCGGTTTAAGGCTCAGGCTTTGGGTCCTTGTTCGATGCGGGCGGTTTGGAGCTGTAGGCGCTTTGGTCTTGATGGCATTGTGTATGTGAGGTGTGTGCCCCCGAACAGCCATTCGAGACACAAGAGATGAGTGTTCTTCGGTCCATTCAGGATTTTGCTGATAGGGTCAAAGGCTGAGGTCTCAAACTTTTGGACCTCTGCCCTTGTTTCGGGTGCAGCACCCGGGCCTCAGTGCCTGAACTGATAAAATCCCGCCTCCGAAGCTTGAAACTCCCGAGTCCTGCTCTTGTCCCCAGAGATAAGAGCCTGGCAAGGCCAGACATCACCCATCAGTGCCTGATGACACTGCTGGACAGCCCCCTTAACAAGGCGCAAGGCATTGGTGGACTTGTTTTGAAGACAGGTTATAACAACTTAGTACTGTAATATCAGATGGTAGACTATCTCATAATATGTATATGTTAACTTGTTGGATCCAGGTTTTTGTTGATGGCTGACTGCGTCCTTTTCACAGAACCATCGCTGTTGCTGTTGCTGGCGGTTTTGGGCCATCGTGAGTTTTTCATACCAGTAGCGCTGGAATTCACGAGGCTGAGTGTCCACCAGGTAAGCATACATGCAGAACAAAGCTGCCCAAAACCGCAGGCTGGCAAGCTGCTCATCTACATCCACACCGCCAAGAATGTCTTGATAGAGGTGGGTACAGCCTTAAACCCACATCCTTGCCCGAAAACCCTAAGTCTTCCAACTCTTTGAATGTAGACAAGCGCGACCGGTCCCTGGCATATCCTGCAGCGGCCCCAAGCTCCAAAGCCTTCACCGCAGAGCCTCGTGTCCGACAAGCCTAGAGCAAGAGGTCGACTCAAGCAAGCCTCTCCGGCAAGCTAGTATCTTACAGCCTGCTAGATATTCTAGAGCATGCTTTCCGTGCATCGATCTCTGTCACGGCATGTGCCGCATAGGCATGCCTGAGGAGCAAACACGACTTTCTTAATGCCTGGCCATCCGCCCCATGTGCGATTTCCGGTAGTCTCCTGGTCCAAGAGCAACAGAAGAAGAAGCTGTCCCTCCCCGATGCTCCTGTTTCTCGGGCGGAACCGCAGCCACATTAGTTCTGTCTCTATGGCGAGCGCAACATTGCGGGCTTGTCGCTCTGAGGGAACCTGCAAGAAGGAAGCACAGCTCCAAAGGTTGAGGGACCATGCTACTGCTTTGGGAGGCCAGTGCTTGGCACAGGAGTACCAGAACAACAGGACAAAGGTTCTTTGGCGATGTAGTGACGGTCACACGTGGCACGCGACGCCGAATCATGTGCTGTCCGGCAAGACTTGGTGCCGATTTTGCAGTAGGACCGGGCCCATAGGGCTGGAGCGCCTCCGCGCCCATGCTGCTTCATTGGGTGGTCATTGCTTGGCGACTGAGTATGCCAACAATCGCCAAAAAGTGTCATGGCGATGTAAGTGTGGGCATACATGGGAAGCGAGACCAAGCAATGTGCTGCACAAAAGGACTTGGTGCCCGAAGTGCGCCCACTCAGCTCGAAGCAGTCGACTAAAGTCTTCAACAGCCAAGTTGACTTTACACCATTTGCAACAGCATGCTGTCACGAAGCATGGTTTATGCCTAGCGCAAGAGTATGTTAACAGCACCACCAAAGTACTTTGGCAGTGCAATCTGAAACATGAGTGGCATGCTACTCCAAACAGCGTGCTGACGAAAGGAAGTTGGTGCCCAACTTGCGCAGGCAAGGTGCCAGGGACCTTGGAGCAGTTGAGAACTCATGCAGAGGCACTAGGTGGTCAACTCCTCAGCACGCACTACACGAACAGACACACACGTTTGAGATGGACCTGCAGCTTGGGCCATGAATGGTTGGCCTCCGCAGCGTCAGTCATGAACCAAAAGAGCTGGTGTCCTCACTGTGCGAGGAGGGCGCCTATTGGTCTCGCTCGCTTGCAGGCACACGCCGCATCGTTGGGTGGAAGGTGCCTGTCAAGTCAGTATGCAAATTGTGTTACCAGACTTCTTTGGGAATGTGGAAATGGACACACATGGAAGGCGACTGCACAAAGCATTTTGCATGGTTCAACTTGGTGCCCACATTGCACAGCTCGGACCTGGCGGAACGAATCAGAGGTTCGACAAATCTTGGAATCAGTGTTTGTTGAGGCCAAGTTTGACACCGCATTTCCTGCTTTCTTGCAGGGACTGCAACTGGATGGCTACAGCCCGGCATTGAACCTTGCTTTTGAATACCATGGTGAGCAACATTACCAACCCGACAGCTATTTCAACTTCGGGGACTTGTCCAAGTTCCAAAGGCAGCAAGAGAGGGACTCACGAAAAGTGCAACTCTGTGCCCAAGCTGGGGTCCGCCTTGTCGTGGTGCCCTTTTTCGTGAAGGACAAACACAGTTTTGTGCGTCTGGCACTGCTGCAGTGGTTCTCTGTTTCTGATGTAAACCCTGTCATGCTCACCGAGCGTCAAAGTTTGAAAAGCAGCTGCATCTTCAGAGGTTTGTAGCTCAGAGCTTAAACCTTGAGCCAGCTCCTGAAGCCGATGTCACCACTCGCCCCACTCTCACATCCCGCGCCCTACAAGTCTCTCACAGTCCTGGGTTCACGAACTTATGGTGATGGATGGGCTCAGCAGGCGTAGGAAGACCTTTGGTAGGCTTAAACCTCCCAAGCACAAACCCTTAGCTCTTGCGGGCTTCGGAGCCGCGATCGTGAGTCCCGCCACTGCAAGCAGCGTTGCAGGTGCACCCCTCCCTGCGCATACCCAGAACCTTCAAGCGCTTTGCAGGCCAGCATAGGTTGCGGGTCTGGGGTTGCAGCAAACTTTGCATCATGGCTTGGGCGAGTTCAGGATGTCTAGGACTAGGGTGGTAGGTGTAGAGTGGGTCAACAGCAGGATTTCAGGTGGTGGGGGGGGGGGGGGGGGGGGGTCACTGTCGTTCTCGGACGAGGCTCTTTGCTTTAAGATGGTGTCCAGGTTTTGTCAGTCCCACAGGTCAACAGGTTTGGAGTTGCTGGTTAGTTGCTTGTAATGTTTGGTGCTTCATAAGATACACTGCTGGTACTTCCGGGTGGTCAACCCTGAGCCCTACAACCCACGGAGCCTGCTCGGTATATTGGAAACAGGTACATTGGCTCTTCCCATCCCAGGCTCCACCTAGTCGGTGTGCCTTAATTGGTCTAGAATCTAGAAATGCCTGAATTGTTTTAGAAATGCATCCCGCAGGCCTTTGCGTTGAGCTGCTGCAGCGCCAGAAGATTCGCGCCGCGGGGGCCAACGAAACCCTGATGAAGGCGGCCCGATTGAGGGTTCAATGGCATGGCGTTTGATGGTTCCGTAAGGGTTGAGGGCCTTCCCTTCTGGGGTTCAAGTTTGTCTCAGTGGGACTTCCAAGGTGCCCCTAGACTCTAGACCCTCAAACCTCGACCTCCCCATGAACCCTAGCTTGATGACAATACCTGTTCCCAAAGTTACCCTACATTTCCCTTATAAACCAATAGGAACCCTAAGTAATTTGCCTGAAGGACCTTGTGATCGAACCCCAGCTGCTGTTAGGTGGTCTCCAACCCGGTGGAGAAGTACTTGCCGCCCGGATGCCGGCGCTTTGGCATGTCGGTGGGCGGCCGGCCGGCCTGGGTGCCCAGTAGTTCCCTCATTCGCCGTCTTCCATGAGGGATTAAGGGTTCCCTTTGGTGATGCCTTCATCCCTTTAACCGCAAAAAGGGAACCTACAGGGCTTGAGCTGACTGACAGGTTCAAAGGGCTGAAGGTGAGTAATGATTCTGGGCTGTACCTCAAGCTTGACAATGTCTGCCTTTTGGTACGCACATGGCTGCCTAGGGGTTGTATGGGGTTTAAGGTTTTGGGCTTTTTAAGGTTTTCTCCACATAGGAGGCTGACCACACTGGCGTAGCTGATTCTGAGATGACCCTCTGCCTCTTTCTGACTCCGTTCCTTTTCACCAACTCTCAGGTCAAAATGCGAGACTTCGCGGCGGAGCTAGATGCCGCTGGGCAGCTGCCCTAGAACTTTTCTCGGGGTTTCTGACGGCTGACATGAGGCACGGTGTGGATTGAACTCTTTGCTCACATCCTTTTCTCAGTAGTGCCTAGCTTCAGTTTGACTGTCTTTCCCAGACCTTGCTTCGTTGCACACCTGAAGGAGGACACATGATGCTTCGAGAAGTATATGAGTAGGAAATCCTGGTGTCAAAGGCTCGCGTCAGAAGCCCTGAGCCATCCTACAAGGCAGTCCATGCCCGTTCCGATCGTCTTCGCTGTTGGCGGAAGCCTTAGCATTTGCCGCAGCCCGCGCGGGCTGCAGCAGCTTTGTGGTCCATGAGGGAGCAGGTGGAGTTTGGGGAGGTTCAGGATCCACCCTGGACGGTTGCCTTGTGCTTGCAGCGGAGCCCTACAAAGTCGAAGCCCTGAACCATACGCCCTGGTTATCCTGCGAACCCTACAAAACCCAAAAAGCCCTATAAGCCCTAAAGACCCAATTAAAACACCATAAAACCCTCTAAACCCTACAAAACCTAATAAGCCCTAAAAACCAACTCCTGACAGACTTCCAGGTGGCGTCGCGCGATCAGACCCAGTCGTAGAAGCCAGCTTCGGAGCGAACTATGTTGAGGACGCTTACATGGGGTTTAGGGTTTAGGGTTCAGGGTTGATTTCCGAAATTAGGCACCTTCTTGGGGTCCTGTTTATCAGGGGTTCCTACTATTTGGGGGTCTATCATGGGGTCCCCTATATTCGGGAAAACTCAAATCCCAGAACCCCTATTAACCCTGGGCCCGGGGATAAGGTTAGGGTTTAGGGCTAGGGTTTGTAGTATACAGGGCTTGTAGGAATCAGGGTTTAGGAGTAAAGGCTTAAGAAGGCGCTGGCCTTTTAAGTGCATCGTGCGAAAAAATAGAGCTGAGGAGGGCAGGTGTGGTCAATACGGTGCCTCCCTCACGCGAACCTTTCAAGCTGTAAAACCGTCCCAACCCCGCGAAACACTCCAAAGCCTCTTAAAGGTTAAAGACATGGGGGGTTTCCGAAAATAAGGAACCTTTTAATATAGACCCCCCATGACCCCCCCAAATAGTAAGATTCTCTGATAATAAGGACGCCAATAAGGTACCTCTAATTTCGGAAACCCCCCAAATCAGTAGCAATGTAGATCCCTCACGCCAGCTTGGCAGGAGAATGTGTCGATCTCGCCCTACGGGCTCTCAGCTTCGTGCGTGTGCTCCAAGCATCTCGGCTTCAACAAATACATGTGGTCACATGGTTTGAGGGATTTTGGGGTTTAGGGAGGGTTGTAGGGGAGTTAAGGGGATTAAATTTAGGGTTGGATTTTGGGCCTTTTCTTTTTTGGGCGTTCGCGCTATTGGGGGGGCTTGTGGCTGCCGATGCTGCTGAGGATATGCAACGAGCCCCGGTCTCAGCTGTACATCTGGGTTCCCATCTCCCCTAGGCCTGGATGTCCTTATGAACCCAAGTGTACGAAAGCCCGAAAAAAGCCTTGACACCATAAAGGCCCTAACGCCTTGTCGCCATAGTTTACAGGGGAATGGCCCATCACAGTCCTGAGCCAGCACTGGACGCATAGAAGGCTGCAGTAGAATTCTCTTGAAGCGGCAGGCACATTGCAGGGGCTTGAAGATTTTGGGATTTCGGGGTTTAGGGTTTAACATATGCGGTTCTGGGACCCGATGTTTAAGAGTTCGACGCCCCCCATGTAGGTCTTCATGCAGGCTTTGTAGTACGGCACGCCCAGAAAGGGGCAAAAAGTCCCGAGCCTGCAGTCTCAAGTCCTGCGAGTAGCGCTTGGAAGAGCTAGATTTCAACCAGCCTTGTTACAGGACGCTCTTAGTGTTAGAAGGTTCGAGGCATGGAGACAAACACAGATATACCATAAAAAAACCTGTATAAATCCTGTATAAACCCAGATAAACCAAAACCCTGAAATCAGATAAAGCCGAAGAAACAACCTGAAAACAGCCTCATACAAAATTTCGAGGGGAGGGGGGGGGCGAGGACTGGGGGCGAGGGGAGGGGGCTCTTGTGTTCCTTAGGAAAAACGTGAAAAAAAAACGCGAAAAAAAACGGAAAAAACGGAAAAAAAAAAAAAAAAAACGTTGAACAGAACGAAAAAAAAACCCAATCAAAACCAAAGAAAAAAAACCCCCACCCCACCCTTCCCTCGCCCTCTCTCTCCTCACTCTCCCCCCCCCCCCCCAACCCTCCCCCCCCTATGCAGGTGAGGCGGGGCGCCAAAGCCATGGTCTATGTCTCGTAGCATGTGCTTGGTTGCCGCCTTTTTTTCTGTTTTTTTCAGGTTTGTCTTAGGTTCTTAGCGGTTTCTCCGAACCCTGGCTTGGGTTTTTTTTGGGTTCTGTATAGGTGAATTTTGATTTTTTTTATGAGCCGATTTGGGCATCTCCATTGGATCGGTCCTTTTAATCTTAGTGAGTGAGGGTGTAGAGCTTTCGCTTCCCTGGGGCTCCTAGCCAGCAGAAGAGGAGGGATTGCAGACACACGTCATGTGCATGAAGCGGCTGTCGCTGAGGTTTGAGTATCTGTGGGGCATCTGCTGAGATGCTGAGACGCGCTAGGAGAGATATGCAGCGAGCTTTCTTGGCAGATCTGCACGCAATGCCGAATTGTTGACAGAAGTGATCTGAAATCACGCATAGGACAACAAGTACGATTCCCTGTCTCGCTACCGAAGTAGAACTGCGGAGCTGTTCTATGTGAGCTGCCCCCAAGCTGACTGACCAAGATACAAGATCCCCCTCTAACCCCAGCACCATGGTTGGACTAGGGCGACACAGCGCTATGCTTGCTGGGGCGCACCCAGCAGCAGCGCGATGAGGAGCAAGGCAGCGAGTGGAAAAGGGGACAAAGCAGGTTGGATTCCTGGTCGAGCCCGTATCTATCTATCCAACACTCACCAAACCCCCGCACGCCAAGCCCTGAGTAGCTGAATGAGTACACTTTATACTTTTTGGGATACTCTAACCCCCCCTAAAGAACTGAAAGTGTACTCCCCCTATAGCCTATAGCAACAGAGAACCCTAAGGCCGCACCTTTTGACATGCAGAGGTACAGGGAAGCCTGGATCAAGAGTCGAACCATGGGCGAGAGCCTTAGGCGTGACACATGCCCTGAGGATTTAGGGTTTAATTAGGGTTTAGGGTTTAGGCTTTAGGGTTTATACTGTAGGGTTCAAAGTTTAGGGTGGACAACAGCCCACTTCTAAAAACTTAGGCAGTTTGGGAGGGTTGCAGCAAGTTCTAGAGGGGCGGGCACCCAGTCAGGGACCAGCCGGCTGTGGGTGAAGTGGAGGGGCAGGCCTGGCGCCAGGAGGCAGGGGTCGGGTCAAGAGAGCAGGGGCAAGGGGGACAAAAACGGTTTTTGAGCACCCTGCCTGACCCGGCCTGAAGCCCCTCTGGTCCCTGCACACGCTGCGGCGACCGGGTCCGGGACCCCCTGGGCTGGGGCGGGACCCCCGGCTGGGGCCTCAGGGTACAAGTGACCACAAAGGGACCAGTTCTACTTTCGGGAAGAACGTGCTCCGCTACCGGCCCATCGTGGGTGCTACCGACCTCCGAGCTGTTGGAGGCGGGCGAACGACCTGGGTCGGCTTGCGCCATCGAGGTCGAGGGGCTTAGGCGCCGCCCCCCAACTGTAGGGGGGCGGCCTAAGCCTTGAGTTGAGGGTTTAGGGTTTAGGGCTTCTTACAGCACATTTGTTTGCTTCGATGGCGCTGCATTCGCTCCCATATTTTATCCACGTTGGGGTAAT